GGTGAAGCTGCGTACAGTCTAAGATGAAAAGAAATGTTGACGCTGCTGGACGCTTCAGGGTCACCACGATTCTCTGACAGCTGCTGTGAGACGGACTAAAAAATAAGCCTAAAATCACAGTGAAAACGGAAACCTATTGGAAGAAATTTCTAAACTGAAGCAGCACAAAGGTCCGTCTGTCTTGCGTTTAAATTTTAACACCAACAAAGGGTTACGTAGGAGATGTTTTAAAGTCTTTAACTTCCAACAATTTTCAGTCAGGTCATCTGGACAGTTTCTTTTTTCGCTGCAACTTTTCACCATCCGGAAGGCTTCATCAGTGAAGGAAACACAAAACTGATTCTTTCCCCCAACAGCACCAACTTAACTGGTTTGGTCCACTTTGGAGTAAGTTAAGATGGTGTCTTTGGTGTCCAGATGACCTGACTGAAAACTGTTGGATTGTATACCTGGATTATTGAGCATGGACATTTTTGGTCTTCAACTTCCAGTTTTGGAGAACTCTGCACTCCAACGATGGACGTTACCAGGAGCTTGGATGAGAACATTCTACACTCAAAGATGATTTGAGAGAACTAGAAGTCTGTTTTGATGAACAGTTTTCAGTGAAGCACATCTGTCAAGGCTCCAAGAAGGCAGTTTTATTTTGCCCTACTCCCATAGTTTATGGAAAATCTACAGTTTTTTTTTTCTAATTTAATCCAGTATCTCTGCAGACGAATACGGAAAGATTATCTGGAGGGCCACATCTGATTAAACGGAAAAAACAAGGCGTTTGTGTTAACCACAGACACATGTCTATGGTGTTAACTGGTTCGACATTAGCGGCGTCTCCATAACTTCTTTTCCTCCTCAACACAGAACTTCCAGTTACGTTTCAAAATAAGAGCAACATAACTAAGTAATAATACTAATGCCTAGCCATTACATTAAAAAACAAAATCTGTTTGTTGAATAATGTGAAAATGGTTAAAAGCAATTCATAAATAAAGGAAAAAAGTAACCAAAAATAATAATGATACTTAAACTGGCTTTAGGACAAAGGATGTTTCCTTTAACTTCACATTTTCTTGTTCAACTTTTAAATCAGTCACTGCAGATGAGTGATTGTCAGTTTCTGTCAGATTTCTGTAACTGGAGCAGGTATTTCTGTTTACTGGTTAACTTCCTGAGCTGTCTCACATTTTAAGGGTCAGTTCATGTTTCAGCTCCTTTCATAGATCAGATCTCATAGAAGAACTTCTAAAGAGAACATTTTGTTTTTAGACTGTTTTGGGCCATTATCTGTTACAGGACTCATGATCTTTAATTGAGACCAGACTTTGACAAATGGGAGCAGGTTTCGCTTCAGATGTTTCATATTTCATTGTACCCAGACCAGACTCAAGCCAACCTGTGTCAGGTGCAGCTACAACCCAAGGACTAAAGAGAATATTCTTGTGTTTTACAGCAGATTTAACGCTGGTTCTTAGAAACCTTCAGTTTTCAAAAAGAGTTGACGTAACTTAAAAAGCAGCAAATACAGTTAGACAATCGGTGTTTGTGCTCTACAAACACCTATTCTCCAGTAACGCCCACTTCTGGTCTGCAGAGAACCCCTTCTGAGTTTAGTGAACACTGTACCATGAATCCTACTAATATTCAAATCACTTTATTGCTGATTGAGCAGTTTCATGTGTTTTTCTAAAACGTTGAAGATGCAAACCAAAACTTGTTCCTGCAATGGAAGAATTAAAGAAAAGGACTTCAGTGCTTGAGAACTGGCACCCTCAATTAAAGTAAAGCATTTTTTAAATAAATGAATCTTGAAGTGGACACATTTGTACTATTCACAAATAACGTTGGTGTTTTGAACCTTTTTCTTTGCGGCGAAATCAGTCCAAGATCGAACGCTTCAACTTCTTAAAGATGTCCATGTTTGGCTGAAGACACCTCACTCGTGTTTCAACTTAACGTGTGGCTCACTAATGCTCATCTCTGCTTCACGGCTTTAAATGCATCAAAAAGTGAATTTAAACAGCTGCTGAGGAAAAGGAGCTTCTTAATTTCACCTACCATAATCCCAGGGATTGTCAATCCAGTTAGCTCTATAACCTGCGTATAACGGTGATCTGAGCCACAGGTGAAGGTGTTTTCCTCACGCTCTCTGCAGGTCGGCTAACTGCTACTTCGACATCGAGTGGCGTGGGAAGAGGCTGACTCTCCAGGCAGCGAACGGGAAATACGTGGCCGCCAAGAAAAACGGCCAGCTAGCAGCCACCATGGACTCTGCAGGTGAGACGAGTCGTTGCCTCCACATGACGGATGAGTTAAGTCTCGACGCTGACGCAGCGTTTCAGAGCAGCAGACGTCCTGAAGTCACAGCTGCAGGCTCCAGCTGTTTCTGTCTTTCAAAGGACTCTGGTTCTGATTAGCTGTTCAAACAGCTGGATGCTGCTGTTTGGGACTTTTAGCTGTGTGGGAAAGGTTTAGACTTTTGTTGCCAAGTTGTTGGTTTTTTTTTTTTTTGGCTCAAATTAATCATGCCTGATGGAAACGCCTGAGTTTGCAGAGACACACAAAGATCAGATTTTCTGTTTTCAGTGAGTCAGAAACGTCCCAACAAAACAAGCGTCCTTTGTGTGTTGCACAATCAGCCTCATCTATTCTTGCCTTGATATTTTTGAAGTTCTTAGAAACGAGAACTAGAGACGGGCTCTAAAGTTCAAGTTTCAGGATGAGCAGTTCAAAATGACTCGGATGCTAAATAAACTTTCTTTTTTCAGTTTTGTGAGCAAAACAAAAAAACATTTTAAATATTGGTGAAGATTTTGTTTGAATCGAAGTTGTGTGCACCGGTTATGAATAATCAACATCTTACCTGTTGTAGATGGCTTTTTGTTTGGAGAAATGTTTTATTTCTGACTGGACTGACAAAATTAAAGGTCATCCAAGTAGAACTGAGACTGAAAATGTTTGTCGTTTAAAGCAATGTCTAAATTTGAAACTTTCAAGTCCTGTTTGGTACAAAAACCTATTTTTGGTCTCCAGGTGAGTCTGAGGAGTTCATCATGAAGCTTATCAACCGTCCGATCATCGTGCTGCGTGGCGAGCACGGCTTCATCGGCTGCAGGAAGGTGACGGGAACGCTGGACTCCAACCGCTCCTCCTATGACTTCTTCACCCTGGAGTTCAGAGACGGAGCGTACAACCTGCAAGGTCAGCGCCTGAAAGAAAACGCAAGAAAAATCCTGTATTTAACCTTTTATTGTACCGTATTTTCTGCCATACACGTCGCACCGCCCTATATTAGACAAATGTGGACTGATGCGACTTAAAGTGGGAAAAATCCATAAATGCGTCACTTCGCTGTATACGTCTCAACTATTATGCGTCACCGCTGACGACCCGGAAACGTTGGCCGGTGTTGTGCCTAAAATGGCTGCCAAATGGCAGCCACGAGAGCGTGCACAGGAGAACTTTAACAAGAATTTAAAAAGATTAACACTTAAAAACAATTGTTTGCTTGAAATTGTAGTAAAAATGTATCTCAGTCTAACTTTTCCCTAATGGTCAAATCAGCTGCATTTTCAAAAGCCGATATGCGGAAGTAAGCGTGTGCACGACAGGACTCGCTGTGCATTTCTTCGAATTTTAACCAGATAACCACCTAAAAACAATTTGCTTGACGTTATACTAAAGATGTCTGTTGAACTTTTCCTTAATAAATGGTCAAATCAGCTGCATTTCACTGGGGTGGAGCGGCGAACGAAGCTGATTTAACGTTTGCTCCTGGCAGATGGTGGCAGGCTATGGCAAGCAGATTGCGTCATTAATAGCCACTTTTTACCTATTGCATGACACAACGGCATGTCATACTTCTCGACTGCCATCTAGCGGCTGAAAATAAGTGTTCAATATTTTAAGTCAATGAATGAAAACGGTCCCATCTCAGTCAAAACTTGGTTTATAAATATGGGAAGAATCGATAAATCTCTCTTCGGTGTACAAGTCACAGGGCATGTAAATTATAGAACAAACTGCGACTTTCACAGCGAAAAATACGGTAATCTTGAGCGAGCTAACCCAGGGTTCCTCCTCGATGTTTCAGATTCGACTGGGAAGTACTGGATGGTTGGTAACGAGCAGTCTGTGGTGAGCAGCAGCGACGCCCCCGTCGACTTCTTCTTCGAGTTCTGCGACTACAACAAGCTGGCGATCCGCCACGCCGCCGATGGGAAGTACCTGCGCGGAGACCACGCCGGCGTGCTGAAGGCCAACGCCGACGACCTGGAGACGGCCACGCTCTGGGAATACTGAGGGATGCTGGGAAACCACGGCAACAAGGATGCACCCCCCCCCCCCCCCCCCCTTATTAAACCCTGTTCTTTTTGACTGTATGTTGAACTGCAGAGACGAGGGAGGAGAGAAGGGAGACTCCTTCCCTCCTCCCTCGTTTATCATTCATCCCTCCGTTTCACAGCTCTGCCCCACAGTGCCAACCTTTATCTGTTGCCATAGTTACGCACGAAAGGGGGGGTTGTGCACTTTTTCTGCTTTGCTCTGGTTCTGCTTCATTTAAAGAGCCCCTCCCCTCTGAGTTAACCTGTGTTCTCTACCCGTCTTGTGCGAGCGGCACGCCGTGACTGCGTCCAGTTAAACCTGACCCAGCCCAAAACCAGACCTCCTCTTCGTGGGTGTCGCTCGTTCTGGACTTGGGTCAGTTTCTGCTTCTGTCGGGCCGGGCCAAGTGTTTGTTGATCCGAGCAGGACTGCCTGTAATCTAACTCGGGGGGTGGATCTGACGGACGGGACGATCCGCCCCCCCTCGCTGTTTCATCTCTAGTATTGAACCCGTTTCCCGTGCTGCTCTCTAGCTGTGTTCTGATTGGCTGGCGATGATGAAACCAGGATGTGGGAAGCGTGAACGTGTTCTCAGAGCTCTAGCTAGTGTCGGGGAAACGATGTGGGGGTGTAGGAGGCGCTGAAAGAAAACGCACCGTTGGGTTAGTTTGTTTTTTTCTGTCCAAGGCACAGACATTATCATAGCAACGTGTACAGCAGGTAGTGAAACCATTTATAGATTTAGTGGAAAGCTGCTCTATTTTTTTTTTTTTTTGATTCCCTCGACCAAAACGAGCACCTCTGCCTTTACAGACCAAACTTTTATAACGATGTGGTGCTACCAACCCTCATCTAACACCCCCCAAACAACAAAACCTGCTTCAGGTTCACTGTCCGAACATTTCCAGTGACATAAAACCACATTTATTTGCTTTTGTTGCTAACTTTGACATCAGTGGCGTATTGGGATAAAACTGGATGTTTGACGAACTCCCGTCGTGTAGCACCGTTGGGATCGGCCATCTTGTAATTCTGTTCCCTTCATCTCTCAACACAAACGTTTCCATCAGCACGAGGGACCGGTCGCTGTTTTCCTGTAATGAAACTCAGTTTTTGTTCCCTCTGATCAGAGTGTCAAACGAAGGGTTCACGTGATTTCACATGGTGACACATCTGGATGTGAACATCTTACAGATGTGGAGGGTAAACGTGGTAATGACTGTGCCTTACTGAGTTTTTTGGCAGTAGGAAAATATTTTTGCTTTGTAAAACTGGAATTTTTGTTTTGAATTTTGTACAATTATGAATTATTTTCTTTGGATATTGTGGAGTAATCTCTCTTGTGCCATTGGTTCGCCTAAAATCCAGAGACCAATAAACCTGAGATTTGGAATGCAGACACTCGTTTCTCCTGTTCTTTCCAGATATTTCACTGAAATTTCTTTTTTCAGACTTTTTTTTTTAAAACAAAATAGCTGCCTGGTAAGTAGTTCTGTGGCGATATTATGAATGGTTAGTATTGGGGATGCACAATATTATCGACATGGCATCGTCCGATATTAGCATTAAAGTTAAATATCGGTCATCGGCCATTCCATCAAAAACTGATATAAAAGATGCTGTTTTTGTACGACAACCCAGTGACGAGGCGTCTCATGCGCCTGCCTGATCTGATCACGACAGAGAAGAAGATTCAAAATGTCGGCCATGTGGAAGTTTTTTTTTTTTTCCCCCCGTTAAGGATATTGGATTCAGAAGATTAATGGACTACGTTGAGCCTCGCTACATCGTCCCCAGTTGGAGATATTATTCCGACGTAGCCTTACCAGAGTTACAAGACGTCATTTCCAACGTCGTTGAGAAGCTAATAGCCGAAAGCACTTGTGAGTTTTACCACAGACATTTGGACGTTGTGTTAGCCCCGTTAGCATGATTAGTCTTATGGCACAATGCATAGACCAAAACTTTGATCTTAAAAAGTCTGTCCTTCATGCACAGGAGTGCAGAGAATCCACTCTGCAGCCAGGAACCTGGAACAAGCCTCCACAAGTGAGACAGCATCGCAGCTGACTAATGCTAATAAATAACATTTAACACTTCATTTAATATAAGTTAAAGTGATATGCATATCATATGGCTGTTACTGAATAGATGTCACCAGCTCTTACAGTTGTTGCACAATTTTTGTAGCAAATAAACCTAAATAAGAGGAATATATTCTGACAAAGGGACTTATATAAAATATCTGTTAGTGGCCAAAAATCCAATATCGTGCATCCCTAGTTAGTGTCTTACCTGTTGTACATGGCTCTTTGCTCAACCTCAGTGTGTGGAAGTAGAGGCCATTTTAAAGGGTCACACTTCAAATTAAACCATGAACTCTGTACGCCACCCAGATCTATTCTAGAGCATCCCAGCATCTGCAAAAATACACTTTTCTTGCAACTTGCGCTCCGTTTTGTTTAAATGGCAACATCTTTCCTAATTCTTTAGACTGATCAATTGTATTTGAGGCAAATGGAAGGAAAAAAATAGTTTCAAGACATTTGTAGCCTGAGTGGCACATATGGCCACGATACAGTGAAAGTAAACGTACAATCTGGGGGATTAAAACAATAATTTAGAAAGGAACTTTAAAACAAAACATTTAGCCCTTTTTATTCTTGTAGAAACCTGGCAAGAAAAGAAAAATCTTTGCTTATAATTGTGTCCTATTTTTGTTTTCACATGTTTTAATGTTGAAGATTGGCAGAGGCCACTGAGCTAAAAGTAACTCAGAAGGTGCTACAGCTCTCTGAAGAGAGGCCGGGACAGAACAGAACCATGATGTTGAAAGAACCTCACTGCTGACTGACTCGCACTGGAAATGTTTTTTTTTTTTCCATTTTGCAGCATTTTAGTATTTTTATTTTTTGTATTTTTGCTGCATGCTTAGGCATTTCGGCCCTGTGATGGACTTGCGACCCGTCCAGGGTGTACCCCGCCCCTCGCACAGTGATTGCTGGACATGGGCACCAGCGACCCCCGTGACCCAAAATGGAATAAGCGGGTAAAGAAAATGGATGGATGGATGGATGGATGCTTAGGCATTTCTTGTTTTTGTTTTTTTGGCGAGTGGAAATGGTTCTTCTCGTCCTGAGCATTTCATTGCATTGTTGACCTTGTGTTGACCTTGTGTTGACTTTTTACATGACAAATCAACCTAACCTTCCTGGAGGAATGTCCCATTCCAACCAGAGTAACCATGTGAGGGAAACCCAACAGCAGATTGTTTGTTAAAATAGTTTGTAAAATTTATTATATTAAAATAGTTTTAAAATGGAAACTGTCCTCTTTGCTCAGATTATCCGTTAGCTCATCGAGTTGGTCAGAATTGTCTCCAATTCGACGTGTTCATAAGATTTCCAACTGTTTAAACGATCTGAACCAGCTGTTGCACATCCTGAGCCTCAAAATGAAAAATGCTGCCTCAGAAGAGCTAAAAGTTAAAAAACGTCAATTTCATCCAACATTTTGCAGCAAAATTATTTTAAAACCTTTGTATAAAGAAGTGAATGCATCATAATGTGAGTGAACTGTTTTCAAGGCTTTGATCAAATCAGACGGTCCAGGCTCCGGTCGCTGCGGCCTCGAGCACAGACAGAGCTTTGTCTGGTTCTGGTGCCGAGTGAGTTCTGTTCTTTTTGTGAACTCAAAACCTTTTTTGTTTGTTTTTCACCAAACTCATTTCATATCTGACTCTTTCGATCTAATCTGTATCCTCAGGCCGGTCCGATGGTTCCAGTGGACTCTCGGCCTGTTCTTGCAGTTCTCATGTAATCCCAGCTTCATGTCTGGCGTCCGTCCAGTTTCTGGCCGCAGCAGCTCCATGGGATGGCCCACATTCGTACACGCACTCATTTTCCTGTCTCCTGAATGGAGCCTTTGTGTTGAAACATTTATTCCAGCTCAGACAGAGCAGCCCCCACAGATCCACATGTTCAGGGTGGTAATGTAATGATGGAGCCTCTGAGCACTTCTCTAATCTGTTTCCTCTGCCAGGTTCTCAAAACAAACGCACCCTCCTATGAACCTCGCCTCTTTCTGCTCGAAAGATGACTCACTGAAAACCTGACCCAGATCCAGCTCATGGCTGCTGTGGCTTGTGGGTAAAGAGCTGGCTCCGTCACAGAGGGAGGAGATGGATGTGGAATGGCTGCCAACCTCCTCCTTTGTTACCATGGAAACAACAGCTGCAGGAAGGGGTGTGTGTCTGTGGGGGCAACGTCAGGGTGAGAGGAGTCAAACCCCCTCATATTATTCAAAAACACCATTGGGGGGGGGGGGGGGGGTTTCGGGGCTTGTGGAGCACAAGGTGGGGGTGGGGAGGCCAGAGCTTTAAATAATCAGGAGGAGGTGGGGGGAGAAACACACCCGTCTCCATCAGCTCTGTCTCTAATCAAATCTGCCTCAGTCCTCGTGGGTCCAGGCAGTCGGGCTCTGGGTCACCGGGTCAGTTGGGTAATCTCTTTACAGGGAGGGGGGCAGACGAAGAGCAGGGTGGTAACTCGCTAATGCAAATAAAAGACTGGTGGGACACGCTCCGCATGCTCCAGGCCGCCATAAAAACAACCACTGCTCTAACTCTAGCTCCATTCAGGCCAACGGGTAGTGTGGACGAACGTTCAGCAGCTCCAGCCTCGTGTTCAAGTAGAAACATGGACGATGAGAAAACTGGGACCAACTGAACAAGTGGTGTCACGCGGAGGAGAAGAGGTCAATCGTTGGCTAATGTTTTTGTCGCACCTGTTTGTCGTTTTATAATCCTGAAAAATTAAATGAACCAGGCTCTCGTTTGGCCATGAGCCTAGTCTGGATGAAGACTTTTGCTTTGTTTCTCAAACCTCTGTGCTGATGTCACCAATGATAAGACTTACTAATGATTAATTAGAGCCTTCCACCAAAATGGCCAGATTATCCCTTTAAGACAAAAGGACATGAATCAGACGTTCATCTTCTTGAACTGTTGAGTGA